GATTCAACACAGAAAAAAAAAAGTGTGCAGTGGATCTGACAACTGCTTTTAAAGTTCTACGAATAACCTATAACTTGCCTGGAAAAGTGAATAAAGATCTATTATTAGATTTAGTTTGAAAGATTTTGTTACAACTATTGTATCTAAGAATGAATATGAGTGCAAGGCTAGTTTTTAAAAAACAGTTACACGTTTTGCTTATAATTATAGGGAGCTCATATCATAGCATGATCACTATGATGATCAAAGCATGACAAGATAGGCTCTAAGGTTTGACTGTGTCACACCTCTACACACTGTCATAAGCAACAAGGCCCTCATTGCCCATGGGCTCATGGCTTTTCTGCACACAATGATGCAGTTCCTCTAATTGGACACATTCATACTATTGAAAGTTGACTTATACACTTATTGCTTATTTCTCTTTGTCTGTTTCCTTGGGCCCACCAGGGAACTTGTCCCATCATAGGTGTTTCTGTAGAGTTACATATCTCTTATCAACTGACACAATCTTCAAATATGGTTGGCAATGCAATGACTGTCCCACGTTTATTAGGTGCTGGTGAAGTAAGCTGAAAAAAGAGACAACTGCTAAGAGCATGATTTAATATTCAAAACTGAATAAATAATAATCTCATTACTATTTGCACCAATATTGTGGCTTAAGAAATTCTGGGCCTGATGATCGTACCAACAGTAGGCTGATTAAAACACCCTGGAGCTGGTGCATGAATGGTCTCAGTAAGACGTCCACGTGAATGGAATTAATCTCCCTCATGGCTGGATAAAACTAGAGGTAATACTGTTTCAGTTTTTGGTTTGGAGAGGTGGAAACATTTTCTGGGAACAGAGCGTCATTTAAGGTTTGAGTTTGAATAGATACAAGACTGCACGTGCATTCAGAACACTGCTCTCAGATGCATGACTTCTTCAGCTCGACTATGAAGAACATAACACAGGCTACAGAAACCTAATGGGTTCTTCTGATGATTTTTAGTTCCACATTTACTACAAATAAAGGCAAATTTGTTTGTTTGTAGTTACATACTCTAACTGGAATTGTTATACAGATATCTGGCTCATTTATCCTGCATACATACCTACTAACATACTAGTCTACGCAGGACTGAAATAATATAGAACTGTCATTTTGAAGACTAGGTCCATACAAAAAACTAAGAACTAAGAGATGAAACAGTTTTTCTCAAGACTACCTGCTCAGAAGAGAGACCAAGACCAGCAACAGTTGCTTTCTCTTATAGATTGTTTCACCCAGATTCAGATTTCAGTCTTCTTCCCTTCTCCTCTCACACTCATTTACCTTGATTAAGTACTACCTAATCCAAGCAAGAAGAGAGACAGCCCTTCCCTCCCCTAAACCACTGGCCATGGCTTCCACTTTGGAGCCGCCCTCAGTCCTTCAGCCAGCTGGAAGAGTTTCACGTATCCAGACAGAAGCGAGGACCTATTCCCAAACTTGCCTTACTCCTTAATGAATTGTTCATGGAGTAGGAGGTACAATATCCTTTCCTACTGGCAAGGAAAATGCTCCCTATTGGGAGCATTAATCCTATTAATTATCCCTATTAATCCTTGTTTTTTTTTACCTAAATATATTACTTGGTCATGCTTTGCAGAAACAAGATTAATGCAAATAGCTCAATATTGTCTGGGCCGAGACAAGACATGCAGACTGTCAGTCTATCTTCCCACTATGCCAAAGAACACCCAATGCCATTAGGCCCATCAAACTTTCCAGCTTTATCTGTGAAAGATTCTGTGATACCAAAAGCAACCAAAAGCACACTGCACAATTTTCTTTATTGGTCATTATTATCAATGCACCTCAGCTTTTAAATCAAGAAAGGAGCCACTGTGATAAATACATTTACATGTTTTTCAGCTAAGGACAGTCCACCCAAATATGGCAATCTACTTGACTAGACATGAGATTAAAAAACCTGAAACTATCCTATAAGGAAATCTGAAAGTATTGCTTCATCTGGGACTGCTCTCTTCAGCAGCTGGGCTTCAGGATACAGTCTTCATTCATATATGCCAAATTTTCGTGCCCACAAACCCTGATGGGCTGAGATGCTAGCAGGTACACACTGAAGCACAAAAACCTACAAATCTGTACTCTAAAAATGTGTAGGTTTTAAGTATAGCTATGATGTTATTGAAATCTCAGATTTCAGGACTTTAGTCCCCAGCTGAGAAGTGCCATTTGGCCAACTGAATCAGCCAGTATGTTCAAATTTATTCTCTGTGTTAGACATACATTTACTTATTCGTGTGTACGAACTCCAATAAGCCTTTATGTCGTTTTTGTATCTTTTTTTTTTTTTTTTTTAAGATATCTTTTTTGCATTTGTCCTATACTGGTTTGAATTAAGAGTGGTTAAAATTAAATAAAGTGTTTTCCACTTAGAGACATGTTTGCCTCTAATATGGCAACGCTGGACCAGTCATACAGAGCTCGCCTCCCTCCCATACCTGTCCAAGCCTACAGAACCCCGACTGTGCCTGCAACTACCTACACAACTGTATTCTGGTAAATTCTAGTTAAAAAGTGTCTGCACTTTTGAATGTTTGCTTGGCATGAACAGAATTCTGATATATTTTGTGATGCTTTATTTGTTATAGTGTTTTATTTCCAAAAAAGCTAAATCTCTGTAATAGCAAACCAGAAGAATCTCAGTATATTTCTTAAAAAAGCTTTAAAATCTTTCAAAGAGGAAGGACAATAGAGTAGGGAAAGAAGGAAACAAGAACACAGTAAAACAATAAAAAGTTGTCTAAACCTCAAACCAACATGTATTCTAAGCTTTAGCTACACTGTCATACCTTGTTGTATGAGCACTAGTGGAAATGCAGATGGGTGATTACCCAAGGGCACTACCATTTTTCAAAATTAGCTGTTCCATTTATTTAATATTTTGGAAACAATCCATGAAGTTTACAAAATTTCAGTTTATTGCTACTAAGGTCACAGTAACATGGGCTTTTCTTTTGCAATCCATGAATAAAATCAGAAAGACAATATATATGATATACAGGGAGTATTGCAACATTAAGCCAATACAACACTCAGTGCTGGTCATTATAGCTTTATGGCAATGAGGTTTTAGGTTAGTATTCCAAATCACACTTGTATACTGAAGGATGTGAAAGTCATACTGTTTCCAGTGAAACAACATAGTACATACAGACTTGGCAGATGCCTGACTTCTACAGTTTTTGATAGACTCCCAAATTTAGGACTAGAAATGTCAGACTGACCCTGCATTTGGCAGGAATAATAGAAGTTCTGGTTTTATCAAGCTGCACTTGAAGTAAGATCACATTTCCCTTAAAAAAAATCTCCAATTTTGTAATATTAATATAATATTTGCATTTGTAAACCAACAGAAAATTTAACTGTCCTTAACTAAATTTACTGCGTTGTACTTTGGGATTTGGAGTCAGTGAGGCTCTGGGAGTCATACATCACAAAAATGAAATTAAATTGGTGGTGCTTGCATATGGCAATATTTTTCATCTGCCAGAATACCACAAATTAAATGAGAAAAAAATGAGAGCTTTGAGAAAGTAATAAAGCTCTGTGTTCATTTGTTTTGTCCTGTATCACTTCTATCACCAATGCTAAAAACAGAGCTGTTGACTCTGCTGCTATTATCAGAAAAAAGTATCAACAGCTTAATACCATCATGAACCTGGCAGTATATGAGATAAGACTAAACTTTTTAAAGTTTAAAGCAATGAATGGCTTAATTGATCCCCCTAAAATCCACATTCTTCTTTTCTCTCATCTTCTGACTTCATTTCTGAGTCAGACACAGAGAGGGTGGAGTGTACTAATTCTACCCAGGCCATTTGACCAGGCAAGAAGCCCAAGAAAAATGATTTTTCCATATACTAATATTAATAAATAGTGGAATCTCAAAGTTCTTTTGCAAGACTCCAACTTGTATTTTGAACTTCACACTACAAATTCATCTCAATTTGCTGTTTTTAAACAGCTGTTTTCTCAAGGCCCTTGTAGTATGGCTTCGTCTTTTAAATTGTATTGATTCTGTTTTTTATGCCTCTCAGTGTTATCATTTTCTTTCCTGTTTTCTTTATATTCTTTATGTTCTTTGATTTAACAGTATAGGTGTACCAAAATTACACATACAGTTTCTCCATGGAGATCATGCAGAATTTTTGCAATAAACTCAATGGAAACGCATGCGTTTGGGTTAATATTGAGACAGGTCTATCTTGCTAAGGTTCTTGAGGGGTTGTTCCTCTCCGCACCCTACAGTCTCAATCTCAGTGCACTACCATAGGAATGAACAGCACACATACTTCTCTTGCATTCACAAATCAACTCCATCTAGCTACAATATTCCATAGCAAAATAGTTCTGATTGTTACTCTAATTGAATCAGCCGATCTTTAATCTTTTTTTCTTTTTAACCTGCATTTAACTGTCTCCATTCCCCTGCACCCTGGCAAAATAACTTATTCTTCAAATTCCTACCTCTGTTTCCAGAAATCAACTTTACAATGACTTACAAAATCTCAGATATGCCAAGAGAGGACTATGAGCAAACAAGTGATGGTCTAATGCACAAACACCAGAGCAAGAAGACTCTGGTGAATGCTGGGCCCTTTCTAGAATGCAGCTTTACTCAAAATAATCAACAGCCCCTCTAGATCGTATTTATCTGCATTTGGATTCAGGTGTAACAGAAATACAATGCTTGTATACACTTTACCAAGAGCACAGGGAGACTCCTACTGAAAGACTCCAAAATTGTTAAAGGTATGAATTTGCAACGGATGATTACGTCCTGTGCTGTAAATGAAGCATCCTATCAGTCCTATCAGTCCTTTCCAACATTAACATGATCCAAGGTATTGTGCCAGAAATCACTGCACATTCTTTTATATTTCAAATTAAAAAAAAAAAAAAAAAAAAAAAAAGAAGAAGAAAGTAAAGTAGCATTTCTTACTTTCGACGGAACATTTCTGCAAATATGCAACCAACACTCCAAAGATCAACTGGTGTTGCATAGCTGGACTGAAGCAAAACTTCAGGAGCTCTATACCACAAAGTAACAACCTGAAAAATAAAAAGAAAGGTAAGTTACAGCAAACTTAGCTGTAGAACTAAAATCTCAAAGTGCTACTGCACACAGATCCAATTTAACTTCATCCAAACTGCAAAGGCAAACTTATTTGACCAGGATCTTGCATGGAGAATCTACATATGGGTAAGCTGCAATAACAATGAATCAGGTAGTATCATTTCCCCAGAACAGAGCAGTTCGACAGTACAGCAAAAATGTAGTATCACAGTTAAGCATTGGCATGATACTACAATATCCCAAAACACTGTCAGAACAGCTCTTTGAACCCTATGCAACTTACAGAACCCAAATGTTTTCCAATGGATGTTCACATTCTCTGTAGAGCAAACATTAGACTGTTGATCAAGGGCTGCTTTTCTTAAACACTTCATTAGACTTCCTGGGTGTCATCACCCTAATGCCAAATTGGAAGCCAGGAAGTTAAAGAATCCTGTAGGTTTACCTGTGAGATAAATCAGAACCTGTAGCCCATGTTTATGCTAAGCTCTTCATAGTTCAACCAGTATATTTTCTTGCAAAAGGAATAGTGTTAATGGAGCTGGACTGGCCAACCTGGGCAAATGTGTCCTACCTTTCTCAAAAGTTCTTTCTTCATGCTGAACTGAAGACATTTATTATTTTAGCAGATAGATACATTTTAAGTTAAAACCTCCCCAAAAGCTGTCCATTACAAAAGACATTCAGTGCTGTCCGTCGTGATGTCCTTGGACACCAAGATCCTTACGTTGTCTTTGTTTTCACCCAAGCAGCATAGCACTGGGATCCTTGGCAGGTTCCTGACCTTCAGCTCTGTGACTGTCTCTGTTCATGAGACATGGGTAACAGCAGCATTAACTTCTCCCACAACTTATTTCCAAATGATATAGTCTTTTCCAGGGACATATGCCACGTAAAATGCCTGCTTTCAGGCAGTCATTCACGTTGCAATGTGTTGCAAAGACACAGCTGGAATTTCACTGACACGGCTCCATTGATGGAGTTTGATGAGTCCTGCACACTGGACCCACAACAGAGATGGGACACTTCATGTTTACTCTTTTGTTTCTCATAAACCAACCAAATACAGATGAGGCTGACTGTATCTTCAGTACATTTACAGAAGAACACGAAGAGCTTCCTTAGAGTCTTGAGTGAGCTACTATGTAGCTAAAATACAACCTCAGAGCCAGAGGAGTATCCTGCTCCTGCGTGCATGCACTTACAATACAACACAGGATTGTCAGCTAAATGGCAATATATTCTCAGTGCATGCTATAATTTAAATTTCTGTCAATATTAACTTATGGGCAGGAAGGGTATCAAAAATTACTAGTTTCTTTCTCCAACTAACACAAAAGCGAGTATTGGGAAATGCAGTGTACAGGAGAAGCAAGACAAAGCAAAAAAAAAAAAACACAAAAAAACAAAAAAGGAAAAGAATGAAGTGCACCGATAACACAAAAATAACTTAAAAATTATGTTAAATAGAATGAATTTCAAAACTGGTACAAAGATATGTATAACAAGAGTGGCTTTTTTTTTTTTTTTTTTAAATGATAACCATATAATTGTCTTCTAAGCATAAATAACAATGGAAGCAATCAGTTGAATTTGCCGGTCAAAGCCAGCAGAAACAAAAGCAAATACAGCGTTTATTATGATCATTACACGCCCCGACAGCCTTTGGAACTCCTGAAAGGCTACTGAAGGGAGGTTCACAGATATTTGCACAAGTGGTCATATTTGCTAACAGTCCTCTTAAACACTTTGATCTCTATTTATAAAATTTGTCTTTGAAACAGTTCAATAACACGGTGCAAAGTACCGCACCGGCAATCTCAATTCCAGCTACCTGTCCTCATAAACAGATTCCTGTATGGAAGCTGAGCACTAACTCTATTTGCCTTGCTCCTGATTGGGTAGCATACTGATGATGTTTTTCCAAAATGTTTCCCTGCCTATGAAAAAAGGTAAGGCTTCTCCAGAGATTCAGAACCGGGACAGAAGACATATATGTAGCACAAGGTCAGGGAATTTTTACTGGAGCTGCCCTACCTGAACCAGTGGCAATTACTCCTACAATACATGCAGGGTTTTGGTGATGCAGAATCTCTCTCGAGCTCTGATCTGCACTTTCACTTTCTCAGGAAACTTGTGGAAAATCTTTCTGAAGAAACATTGGTTTCAGAAATCAAATATAACAAGTTCAACTAGTGCCAGTTGAAATACCACCGCAACCCACCATTCCCGGTTTGAGACCCTCACGGCTCTTCTCGTACGAAGCGAAAAGACGCTTTATTTCCTCCAGTTCCACATGAAGGACTGTGGGGATGTATGCGAGACAGCTCGGTGAGCCCTGCTGACAACGTTCGCCCCACCCTAAGTGCCATTTCCTGGGAAATGCAGCACAGGGGCCACAACGCTCCCGAGAGGCGCCTCGCAGCTCGGCATGCCCTGCACTGCTTGGGGAGCACTGCTGCTTCCAGAAGGCTGCAGGCATGCAGCGTGCCGGCTGCCTCTCCCACGTGGCCTCACGCTGGCACAGCTCCCCAGCACGCACCCTGCTGCCCTCAGTGCACGTGTTTGCAGGGGAGCGGGAGATTTTGTTTCTGAGTAATTTGGAAACTTAAACCTTAAGAAAGTGATTTCCAAGGTCTTGTAGATCAATTCCAGCAACTGCCTGATGGCTTTGTAGTCAGAGAGGAAGTGATCTGTGAAGTGCTGTCCTGATATGCTCTGCCATTATGGCAATTATAAAAGTGATCAAGTAATACTTATGGTTCGTAATATGCAAAACTGCATTTCAAAACCTGAACGTGAAAGGGCTCAACTAAATGTCAGTTTGCACACAAGTAATGCCACATATGGCTTCTTCATTGCTCAGGGCCTTCTGCAAAGCATGAGTTGTGCAGATGATGCAGTGCTTCTGACACAGAGTTTCACACTCCCTTTTGCTTACCATAGAAACCAAGAAAATATTTGTGGACATTCCATTAACATTTGCAGATAAGTAGAAACGAAAATTATTCTGAACACAGGATATGGTGGCTGAACAACTAGATCATCACTTCCTCCTTAGTATGGTTCTGACTGAGAATGAAAAAATGCTTTGCTTAGGTAAGCCACATCACCAGTAAGACGCGCCCTCCATGCATGGCAGCGAGCACTTTGGTGCTGCTTCCTGACACAGCCCCCTTTTTAGGACCAAAATCTCAAATTTCTGCTCTGTTACACTTTGCTTAAATTCTGCCAGCCCTGAAAATTTGCCACTTGTAATGTGGCAGCTGGTGACCACTCTGCAGGAAAAGGCATTTGTGCTCACACTGACAGAGAACCTAATGCAGTGCAAGGCTCCTGTCTACCTCTGAGGTTGCAGGTCTCAGAGAGCATGCTGCATTTTAGCCCTCTCAGCTAATGAACTTCCTTCTGTTGCCTCTTGCCTTCCCCTCACCCGCCCAGCTTCTTTATCCCCTCTCTTGCTCCAGCCAGGTTTCTTTCAGCTCTCCTGAACCCCAGCTCCTCTCCCAGTTCTGCCACATACCAGTGGTTCCCTGATGTCACCAAACATACTTAATCCAGTGCTGCACATGTGCAAACAGCCAAGTGGAGACAGTCTGCTTCCTGAGCTCCTCAGAATGTCATACTTGGTTTCCTCTTCTTCCAGCTGCCCCAAAAGCTCCAGAGCCAAATTAGCTCCTTTTCCCCTTTAACCAGTCTTTAGATTTTCTGCTTGTTCTGCCAGTCCCCAGGATATCATGACTTTTGTATTTTCTACAGATTAGTCTACATACAAGAAAACAGAATAATTTGCACGCTGACACCTAAAGGAGAAACTTTACTCCATTTCCACTGTACATTTTGTGACTCTACTATCCAGATGGGATGATACCAGTTTAGGAACAATATCAGTAGCGAGTGCTGCTTCTTATAATTTAAATATCAATAGATTTAGGCAGCATGCCAGAATGAAAATAAATGAAATACATATCTAAGAGGCATGAGAAAGGTAAGAACATCTGCAAAATTGTACCAGTGCTGTGTTGGACTTGCAATGAATGAAGATGGCAATGTGCTCAGTAAGAAATAAAAAGCTGTATTTACAGTCTGAAGAAGGATACTTTTTCTCTGAAATAAAGCTGTCTGCCTTATTATACCTGACAGACATTGCTATCTGGGACCACCTAGCCCCAGGAGGTTCACTCCTGCACTTCATGATTCCTATTTCTGATGTAAAATCAAATTATGGTACATATCTGTTCAGTAGCATTGCAAACACAAGACCTAGGCATCGTGTCTGTCTCGGTTAATTTCCATTTACTTTACAGAGCAGATTTTCACTTCTGGATATCTGCTTAATTTAAAGGGATCTGTGCAATGCACAGCCCTTTCCAAATATAGTTGCTGTCTGAATAGCATACAGTTCAAAAAAGACAAAGACAAACAGAGGTTTAGGGATGGGGTTGAGTAACAGAGACACAAAAGACTACATTTCGGTTTGCCACAGACTTTAAGTACAGACCAATGCCCAGTTGCACAGCTACAGGAACAAAGCAGGGATCAGACTGTAACACAGTGGCTATGTCTGTGCTGGGAAATTAAATGGGACAGGAAACGTTCCTTTGGCACGGAGACCAACAGGCACAGAGTGGCCTATGTCCATGTTACTAAATTCTCAAGCCTCCAAAAAAAGGTGACCGCATGCAAACTGCTTATTGGGAATGGTCTTTGGTCCATGCTTAACTGTGCCTAGGAACTGTCTGGGGGAAGGCTAGTTGGCATAACTCAAAACCGTGCCAGGAACCATTCTAATAATTTAACAGTATAGACAATTGAGCTCCAGTACCCACGAATGCTTCCTGGCACTCTTTAATCCACCAGCCAGTGAGTCAGACTGTGGCCCCGCGTCTTCCTTTCACTTCAGAGAGAAGGCATTTTGCTATGCTTCTCTCATCCCCACAGAACCAGGGGCTCCAAGAGGGTGGCGGGTGTGGAA